GGTAACAAAACTACCGAGAATTATCACATACAAGCATACGTTAGTTGTGTGTGTTTTTCGGGAATTTATAAAACATGATTCATATTTTTAAAACATGCATAGATAAAGCGTGGTCCAGCCCGGAATGAAGTGAGAGACGGCATTTGTGACGATTTATGAATTGGCCTATAAGGCCGTAAATTATTGTCGATTTTAAAAAGTTTTTATTAACTTTAAAACTAATCCACCAAATACTTGTTGTTTCGATTCCTAGATTTGAAATGTAATTTCCATACACCTTAAAATGGACCATTTGAAAATGTCAAAGTGACACGCCCTTTTTTGGATAAGGCCTATTTTATTCAACATCAACACGATTTACCTTTGTCTTCTAGAGCTTATTACTGTGTGATTTTCTTATTTATTTTATGTTAATAAAGTAATCTTTCATTAAAATATAAAAAAATAATTTAAGAATATTAAAATCGAATTTCAAATAGGCATATAACGTTTTTCAATAAACAGATTTGAGCCGTTGGTTGTTTTCCAAGATAAAACACCTTTGGCCCCAAAGTTGACTCACTGTGTGCTTTTATGATTTTTGTTCTATTAATTAATGTAGGCTTTCATTTTTTTAAAAAAAATAAAATAATTAACGATAATTCTATTTGAAATAGGCCTAATATATTTTTCAATAAACATTATTTAGAATGAATACTTTGCATATTGCTCTGGGTGTCATGTAATGTTTTGACAGACTTTATAGGCCCCCTAATACTTCGAAATTATCCAGTTTACACTACTACACAAGAATATATTAAATTATTATAAATCTGAAGTTTGCTCTAGATATCCATGACATTAGGTCTGATCTGTGTTCAGAGTTACTTTTATTTTTGTGATTTTTTTGTCAACTGATTATTTAGAAATAGAAAATTTAGTTTATACTGTGTACTTATGGAATTATCTGCCATGAAAACTGAAGTTTACCATACAGCCTACTATTACTAGATAATGACAGAGTAAATTAAAATTATTTTGAATTACTGAATGGTTTAAAATTAGTGACAGTGCGTCAGTAAATATTTTATTGGTCGGATTAAGGCCTACCAGTAAAATGGGAAATGTGATTTTGAATAGCATAACAGTATTAGGCTTTCTGTATTAAAAGCTTATTGCAATCGAAAATTGAGCAAAATAATATTTTTGTTATGAAATTTGGAAAGGTATATAACATACCATATACTTAACACTTAAATTGTTTACCACAAGTAATTGTAGACCTACATAGAATCACATTTTTTGATACACAAACTATAGAATGTAAAAAGAACATGTGCAACTACAGACTTAATGGGTAAAGCTTACGATTTAAAATTTGATCCTTTAAAAATCACAACTACATGTAAATCTAAAATTACGAAAATACTAGATAGCATGCGATAAAGAATGCAAGGAATGAGTTGGTTTACATCGAAGCGCAACTACTTCTTGTCCCGCGAAAGCGCAACTACTAAAAAAGATCTACAATTTATTAATTTAAATTACCGGATATTAATACGTTTATTAGACCTATGACTATGACATGTCATGGATTCAAGTGGCGTGGTTTCGATTCCCCACTTGTACGCAACAGGTGTAGGGTCGCCTGTCCAACCTCGTGGGTTTTCTCCGGGTCCTTCAGTCTCCTCTCACTCAGTCAATGCTAAAAAAAAAGACCCATCAATTGAATTATTGAAATAAAACTGAACCACGTTAGTCCCTAAATTACCTTGATTTGATTTAGCTTAGACTTAGACAAGTTAGAGCAAAAGGTCATATTATATAGAGCGAAGCTCTAAAGCGCCGCGCGAAGCGCGGTGCTTGAGCAAAGCTCTTTTCCGGTAACACAGGAGCGTAATTGAAAATGTCACCCACAGACTGTTGATTAAGAAAAAATTCAGACCGGAACCGGATACACTGGAGAAAATAGGCAATGCGCATGTCAACTTACCAAATCTCGTCCAAGCGAGATTACGCGCCTTATAGAACTATTTCTATGATGCGTCTAATCAATGACGTCACATATTTTTTACGTCAATGAAAATAATTCTCACACTTTTTTGTTCTTTTTTTTAAAAACAAAATTAATGTATACAATTTAGATCTAAATAAAAATCAATTTTGAAAAAATAAATTATTTAACATTTTTTGTATCACTTGAGAAAATTAATTATTAAGGTTTTGTATTTGACAATAATCAGCTTCGCTCTACTCAGGCAATGCCTGTTACATATTCATAAGTTAGATAGCTTAAAGACGTATAGGCCTACCTATAGATCTACTTCTAGGCGGTGCTTGAGCAAAGCTCTTTTCCGGTAACACAGGAGCGGAACTGAAATTGTCACCCACAGACTGTTGATTAAAAAAAAATTCAGACCGGAACCGGATACACTGGGCAAAACAGGCAATGCGCATGTCAACTTACCAAATCTCGCCCAAGCGAGATTACGCGCCTCATAGAACTATTTCTATGACGCATCTAATCAATGACGTCACATATTTTTGATGTCAATGAAAATAATTCTCACACTTTCTTGTTCTTTTTTTAAAAACAAAATTAATGTATACAATTTAGATCTAAATGAAAATCAATTTGGAAAAACTAAATTATTTAACATTTTTTGTATCACTTGAGAAAATTAATTATGAAGGTTTTATATTTGACAATAATCAGCTTCGCTCTACTCAGGCAATGCCTGTTACATATTATGCAATATAATGCCAATTAATCAATCAAATATGAAAACAGTTTCACCAAATATGTACTCTGACAAATTAAATTTTTGATGATATATACTGCTGTTAATATTATCTATAGTATTATAGTATTTTCTTCTGTTCAAGTGCGAAGCGTCTTCTTTAGCCGACATGTTTAGTGACATTACAGAAAAAACCCAAGATGCAGTGCGCGACCTACTTTGTATGCAAATGAAGCAGTCGCCACTCGTGTATATTTACTCTGTGCCATTGGTTAACTTTGATGTTAAGTCACGACAAACACAATGAAAAAATGATTCTGTTTGAGAAGATCATACGCCACACAATGATGTAAGCATAGATAAGTTTCAACCTGATGTTTTATCCATGAACAGTTCACAGTTGATATCAATATATTTAACACATGTGAAATAGGATTTAACGTCCTACTGTTCTGCTCTAACTGGGCTAATGAAGACATGTATGCGCCATACAGTGTGCTATGAGGGTAATTTTGCCCGGGACCGCGGCACTACAGCACTCAATGTGTGCATGGACCTCTGTGTTTATTCCAATCTTAATGACTATACGTTGCCCTTTGCAAGTGCCCTCCACTCTACACCACTGACAAGTGTGAACCACTCGGGACAATATCGATGTATTTATACCATGATCGAAGGAGAGGGGTTCACTAGTCTGCGGGTGCACTAGTCCGCCGCTATAAGAAATCTATAAATATGGTTATCAATAAACCTAATCCTAACCGAACCCAAATAATAGATATCGGTGGACTAATGATCCCCAACTATTACTTAATCCTTACCCTAATAATATATATCGGTGGACTAATGATCCCCAACTATTACTTAATCCTTACCCTAATAATATATATCGGTGGACTAATGATCCCCAACTATTACTTAATCCTTACCCTAATAATATATATCGGTGGACTAATGATCCCCAACTATTACTTAATCGTTACCCTAATAATATATATCGGTGGACTAATGATCCCCAACCCTTACTTAATCCTTACCCTAATAATATATATCGGTGGACTAATGATCCCCAACCCTTACTTAATCCTTACCCTAATAATATATATCGGTGGACTAATGATCCCCAACTATTACTTAATCCTTACCCTAATAATATATATCGGTGGACTAATGATCCCCAACCCTTACTTAATCCTTACCCTAATAATATATATCGGTGGAGTAATGATCCCCAACTATTACTTAATCCTTACCCTAATAATATATATCGGTGGACTAATGATCCTCAACCCTTACTTAATCCTTACCCTAATAATATATATCGGTGGAGTAATGAACCTGCGGACTAGTGAGCATTCCCCGATCGAACATAGACCTTCAGGTTAGCAAGCCAATGTCTTACTCACTGAGCTACCGCGGCCCCCCCCCCCACACACACACACAATCAATGACATGAGAATACTGACTTAGACTTTGTCTCGTTGATAGAACATTTTACTTCACTTGTTTCTAGCCCGTTTGTTGATATATAATTTTCTCTAAGCTATATTTTATATATTATATATGATGTTATTGACAGGTTGTTTGAATATAGATCATTACCATGGTGACGTATTAAAATACAATCGTAAAAACATAAAACAATTCTTTGAAAAATGACATTAAAATTCTCTGTCGTAAGAAGAGAGGACGGGCTATCTTCTTCTTTCTCATAATAAATGTAAATTAAAATTGGAGGTCTAGCTGATTCATTGGCTAGAATTCAATACCGATAGAATTTTAAATAAAAGTAGGGAAAAAGAATCCGCTTACTTTGTAGAAAAGCGAAGTTCTCGCAGTAAAACCCATATAGATGGAAGGGATTGTAAAGGGGGGTGGGGTGTGTGCGTTGTCCTTGACCAGTGGTCTGCGCTAATAATAAAATGGTGCCCCGTTCAGGTGTAAAATCGTATTTTTATATTTAGTTGATGGCTGTAAACTTTAATTACTTGCTGCCAATCGTCCAAGTCCTGTAGTCCAAGGGGGATTGGACAAAAAAAAATTATACCGACGTCGAATAAATGAAAGTTTTATATTACGATAACCACATGTATTATAACCCTATTGTATTTGTCCTATAAATCTGATTGTGTATATAAGTCATGTATAGAAATAACTATTATTGAGTGATTCATAAATACATGTAACTATTCAATAAACTTTTATAACGGAGTTTTCATATAAAAGGGTGGACACGTCAGAGCATATTATTATAGTAACAAACAGCAAACTTTATTACAGACATATTACTTGATCCTAGAAGTTTAACACTACGTATATTGAAAGCCACAAGTCCATCAATTAAACAGTCTACCACCACCTGAAATGTAAGTTTTTGTTACTTTTATGAATTGTACATGTTTATCACTTTTATACATCATTTAGTTGAAGAGAGGCGTTAGACTATTTCACGCATAAGACCCCTCCCCTCCGTCACATATAAGACCCCTTCCCCCAATCCCTCATCCTAGACTATTCAACGTATAAAACCCCTCCCTCACATATAAGAGCCTTTCCCCAACCCCCCACCCTAGACTATTCCACGTAAATAAAACCCCTCCCTCACATATAAGCGCCTCTTCCCCAATCCCCCACCCTAGACTATTTCACGGATAAGACATTTCCCGCTCCCTCAGATATAAGAGCATTTCCAAAAATCCTCCACCCACACGACTAGGGACAGATAACATTGTGTTTGAAACACACAATAATAATAATAATAATAATGACTTTATTTTCTGAGGGAACATATTTAGACATGTCCTTCCTACGCTATAAAACTAGCAACTACACAGTAATAATATTTACAAAGTGAATATATATCATATTATATAAGCTTATATTACAGAAATATCAAAAAAACAGGAAAGAAAAGTAATTATATATATATTATTAAAAATATGAAATCTGTAAGTTCTTTACTTAAAGTTTCATGCGGTACAATACTAAAAAATTTTTTTTTTTTTTTTTTTGTTTTGTATTTTTCTTCTGATAAGTGTGGAGTACCGCATGAAACTTTAAGTAAAGAACTTACAGATTTCATATTTTTAATTATTTATATTCGCTCTGGATTTATTCATCGAGCACTCTGTGTTTAGCCTATGCACACTATTTGGATTATAATATTTATATATATATATATATATATATATATATATATAACAAGGGTGTAGTGGCCTGCTTATCATATTACTAATTTTATCGGGTAGTATAGACTCCGCCTACATTGGCATCACTTATCGATTTGTCTTGCCTTATTATTGTTTCATTTCCGCTTGTAAAAAATTAAAGCATGCTTGCTGGTGAAGCCACAGTTTGACAGTTTTATATGGGAAGAGTAAAAGGGAAAACGAGTTTTTACAGGCAAGGACAGTATAGAATACAGATATAGAATCCTGTAAAAACAAACCCACTAACTCTTCATAAAGATAAAGTACATGTATTTGTATTGTATGAATATTAAAATATCTCTACATTGACTTGATTGTCATCATTGATGTTACATCATTCACTCAGCCCTTCTAGTAACTTCTACAGTCTCGGAAAGACTGTATAAAGGGTTCAAAGATTTAACATGTTTTACTAACTCGCTTTTTGAAGATAAAACTTGAAGACGCATGTTGTTTCACAGTTTGAGGTAGTGAATGCCAGAATACAGAGGCGGTATATTGAAATGTTTTTGTCATTGCCTTTTTCTTACTTTTTGGAATTGCTAATTTAAGTTGACTTTCTGATCTCAAAGTCATGGTAGTTTCGGTCAATTTAGAATTTTCGCAGAATGTGTTACATAAATATGGTGGTAATTTGCCTCTTAGAATTTTGAAGGTGAGCATTCCTTGTTTGTATTAAATGCGTTGGTAGATTTAGAGATTCAACAAAGGTGCCGAATGTGAATCAGGTTTTTCATCCAAAATCCTCCTTGCCGCACGCTTTTGAAGTTTATACAGGACCTCTAGTTTACACTAGGGACCGGGTATCATCCAGATTTTACGAAAAAAGGTAAGAAACTACCCTTATCATCTAGAATCTAATACACGTCAACAATGTGTTAAATGCCGTCAAGATTCATCAAAAACCGCCCAGTTTGTGCTACCGTGTAGATTTAGAAACACCGTTTAGTTTTGACATTTATCGTCTACTTTACGACTGTCCAGTTTCTCGGGATGTTTTAGATTTGAAAGGGGTTTAGTTTTTAGACAAGGCCTTATTTTCCCGGACGTTGTCGAGAAATGAAGAGTGTTTAATAACACAAAACGTTTAGATTTTACGCCAAATTGGTGCATGCAGATTAAGAATAGTGTTAAATAATATATACCATACTTCCAATGATTTATACCATACTTCCAATGCCATATTTGGTGCATGCAGATTAAGAATAGTATTAAATGATTTATACCATACTTCCAATGCCATATTTGGATTATCTATAGTTTTAATATCTGAAAAGCTTTGGAGAGAAAGGTCATTTAAAAATGCATATAATATATTTAACTGTTTGAAATTTCTATATTCGATTTCAAGATGACAATGCCGCTTGATGTTTTCATCATTTCCTATGACAAAAATTACTGAATAATGATCACTAAGACCTTAAACTGAAATATTTCATTCTATAACCGTATCGAGGGAGTTTGTATAGATGATCTATTATTGTTTGACTATTCTGAGTACAACTTGCTGGAGAATTAACAAGTTAGGTAAATTGTTTATCGTTAAAATTTCAAACCATTGTTTAGGAATGTTCAGTTTAAAATCCATATTAATGTCACCCATAATATATAATGGTATATTTGAACTGTTAACAATATTTAACTGGCTTTCAAAAATGTTATACCAGTTTAGATTGGAGGCAGGAGGTTGGTAAACCAAGAATAATAAAAATGATTTTCTATATTTGGGTGTAATTTCGATCCATATTGTTTCAATTCCCCCAAAATCTAGCCGCCTCTTAAATATGATGCTAGACTTTACTTATATCACCGGCGTTTTTCGGGGCTATTCTGCGTTCGAATATGCACCCAGGTGATACATATGTACATATGTAATATTTCATACATATGGAAGAGCTAGGATTGGGGGCGTATAGCTCGTTACTGGAGAAGTATTCTGGTGAAGGCGGTCACTGTTCATTAAAAGTCCAATTCCAAATTCATTTCAATATTACTTTATATACAGTTTTAAAAATACATTATTTACAAATTATATACAAGGCATTCGATCTCCTTGTCTGTGTGTCTCTAATTTCATCTGCCCTCTTGTCTGTTGTTGTATTTTACGTCCGCTTCCACCGAGGTGATTGTCTGTGTGTAGAGGTCTTTTAAAGTAACTAATTTGTATACAGACAAAAGGACAATGATTTCAACAAATCAAATTAAAGATAAAAATATTGTAACACATCAAATGAAAAGAAGTTAAATAAATATATAAATTTCATTGGTTGAAAGTTTCATAGTGAAATATAATTTATAGGATCTAATAAGCTTTAAGCCATAAAGAATTAAAAAGCATTGACACTTGATTGGCATTGATCAGACTGCATTGTTAACTGTATAAATCTTTGCTCAAGGTTTCTCTTAATAAGCCTACTGGCATCCAAAGATTATAAAACAGTCAAAGCCAATCATGCTTTTAGGCAATTACTTTTTATAGACTTTAAATCAAAATATTAATCTAAAAGTAAAGAAAGACCAAATGATAACCATACTATTAGCTATATTGTCTATATACTTTAAGAAATAAATTCTGTATATCCTTAAAATAAAATTTGAAAAAGAAGTAGAATTTAGTATCACTATTCGGTGATAAATGCCCCCGTCCTGAAAAATTCATGTGTCCTCGCATGATATATATACACAATAAACTTGATGAAATTATTAATAATTATATAAAAGAAAAACATATGCTTATAATTAAATATTTGTATAAAATTTTGTATCACAATATATTGAGTGGATTATGTTGATATATGATTATACAGGCTAAAGTCACTAAGGTAATCCTTTGTTGTCGCCTTATGTATAATGCATCCTTGTCACATACATAAATATCACTTGCAATAATTATGAGAAGAAAAAAAAAATTCCAATTAAATGTTTTTCGGTCAGTTATTGAACTGAATAAAGATAATAAAATATGAAAAGTCAATGATAATTAAGAGTCACATAATAAAATATTAGCACTATAATGAAGAAAGTTTGAAATTTTTCACTTTTTAAAGTATGCAACATTGAAATATTTATTATTTGTGGAAATATACTATTCAAAAAAAGTAGGGGATATTTGATTTTGGGGGCATAATACTAAAATATGCCAATGACTACGAAAAAAGTCACTATAGAACCTAACAGAAGAAACATTTCCAGTTACATGTGACGCCCAAACGCACCAATAGCTACCGCATGGAATGCAGGTGATGCTTGGGATCATCATGGGTTCCAACCCAAGATTTGCACGACTCTGACTTTGAATGTTACAGTCATTGTGGCATTGAATTCCAGGGTGGAAACATCAGTTTAATTGTTTAAGTGACCAGAAAACAAATTTTGATATGCGTCGGCTTACCCAAAATGAAAGGTTACGTGCCCTTGACATGCTACAGATCGGCACAACACAGGCGGTTGTGGCGCGGACGATGAATGTTTCTCAGTCTGTCATAAGCAGGCTATGGTCCAGATACCGTGATACACAATCTGTACAGGACAGACCACGCTCAGGTCGACCAAGGGCGACAACTCAAGCCCAGGATCGATTTATCCGTACCTTGGCCTTGAGAAATCGTGTCATCACAGCAAATCAGATCAGCGCTCGTCTTCAAACAGACACTGGTGTGAGAGTGAGTGGCCAGACGATTCGGAATCGACTGCATAGGGGTCACCTTCGCGCCCGACGTCCTCGCGTGATCCCTTGTTTGAGAGATCATCACATTCAGGCAAGACGTCGTTGGTGTAGGGATCGTCAACACTGGGATAATCGACGCTGGAGCAATGTGATGTTTTCAGATGAGTCAAGGTTCACTGTTGATTTTTTGGACAGACGTAGGAGGGTGTGGCGTCGTCGAAACGAGCGCTTCCAAGACGTTAACGTCATCAGACATGATCGATTTGGGGGTTGTTCTGTTCTGTTATGGTGTGGGGAGGCATCACTGTTGCTGGAAGAACGGCTTTACATGTTGTTGCAGGGCGTGTTACAGGCCAGTACTACCGGGACAACATCTTGGCAGTCCATGTTGTGCCGTTCGCACGACGTCATGGCCGCCGTTTCATCTTCCAGGATGACAACGCAAGATGTCACAGGGCCAGGATCGTTACAGGTTACCTCCAACAACAGA